CAGTTAAAACAAAAGGATAAACATCCCTTTTTAGCAATTAAGCTGAATGTCCTTGAAAGTTATGGTGTGCTTGGCATGAATGGCACGGAGGTTAGTGTGACAGTGTCCTCACAGAGACCAACAAGATCTATCATGCTCACCTGAAACATTAATTAATAACAACAATAGTACCTAACATTTATTTGATAATACATAATGAATAAGTTGATGTTATTTCCAAGAGGATGGTAAAATAAAGGGAGAACTATCAAATAAGTCCTCGAACTTTCATAAAAAGTGTAAATAAGCCTTTTTACAGGAGGCTTTATCCGGATGTTGCCATTTGGGGCGGTTTTTGGTGGAATTTTTTTATGAAATTTTTTGAGCATCTTCTTCATTCAGTCGAGTTTACCCATACCAAATTTCAGCTAAAATTTAAATCCAGAAGGCAGTCAAATGATTTTCTGAAATATACTGCAATGTCTAACTGCGCAGTTATCTTCAAAAATTCATTAGACTACTTTCTCGATTGAAATTTTATCTGACATTTGGTATTAGTAAACTACACTTAATGAAGAAGATGCTCAAAAAACTTCTGATGGAGTATATGGCCCAGCAAACTCTGGCCCATAGACTCCCACTACTGTAGCGAAGGCCCAACAGGCCCAGGAAGCATGGCAGGCCCAAATTACGGCGCCCCAAGTGCCAAACAGCCCACGATGAAAACTGGTGTGCCTTTGCCCCCTGGCCGAAGGCTAATAAACTCACAATGCAACTTCTTTAAAAGTACTCAGAGTGTTCGGGAGAAAGCTGTGAAACAGTAGCCCTCGGCACCTAGAGTCCTCGCCACCTAGGCCCCCCGGTATGAAGAGCCTTCGGCCAATCATCTACGGCCGAAGGCATCTCCTCGACAGAATCTCCCACCCACATGCGTCGGATCAACGTACCAAGTACAAACGTCACATCCAACCACCGCATTTAACGCGGCCACATGCGAGTGCCAGTGCCACCCCGTTGAGGTGACCCCTCGACCACTCGGATAGTGACACGTGTCCCTGTCTGGCATTTATTACTACTATAAATAACACCCCTTTTCCCCATTTGTAAGAGAGGCTCAATACACTCAACGCATTCTCAGCAATATATATTCTCTCTCTTACTTTTGCTCTGACTTCTCTCTAGTTATTCCCCGTAGTAACCCTCGGATAGATACCCCCGGGTACACTTATCCATCAACTTCATCAAAAAAATACATCGGAAACCGTCCCAAATGACGAAGGCCGGATAGAACCTCCTATAAAAGGACTTATTTTCATTTTTTATGAAAGTTTGAGAGCTTATTTGGTAGTTGTCCCTAAAATAAAAATCCAGGATGGTAGCTCTTTGGTCGCTCTCGCCTTGCAAAAGTAAAATTAGAACGTCAAGGACTTAATATGCAATTTTAAAAATACTTTTAGCCAATAGGTGAGTTGGAATAGTTAACGAATCAGATTGTGCCACCTATCAAATACACCGAAACAATCCAAAATGTGATGGCACTCTAAAATTTCCGTATAACGTGGGAGCAGCCCACGGTGAGCATGGTGCTCCCACAGCTAATTCACGCGTGAACAGTAACACGCGTGAACAGTAACTTTATTTTTATTCCCGGTAGCATAGTGATGTAACTTGTGTGTAATGAAATGTAACTCACGTTGATATGCAATGTAACTGCAGACAAATTGAGATGTAATTTTTCTAATTCAGAGAAAAAGAAATAAAACATTGATTTCAATGTAAACAATGAAAAAAAGTAGTCTAATTGTTCATTACTTTACATAAGTAGTGAATATGTTTTGTTTTTAATATTAAGACCATAAAACTATTTTTAATATCTTTTTTTTTTTGTTTCAAAAGATGGGGTTTATTTTGGTATGTAGCTAGTTATGAAAAATGCAATTCATGTTGATGGAAAAATCTAACTTAAGGGTATGCAAAATATAACTCATTAGGGCAAGTCTAAATGTAACTCGCGAACAAGAAGATGTAACTCACGCATAAAATTGTGTAACTCGCCTATAAGAAAATGTAACTCTATATATACTATCAAATGTAAACAATGAAAACAAGGAGCCTAATTGCTCAATTACATTACCTTATAGTGAATATGTTTTGTTTTTAATATTTAAGGCCATAAAAAAATGTTTATTGAACAATATTTTTTTTTGCCAAAACTTTTTTTTGGGAAAAAAATGTTTGCCAAAAAAAATCATTTTTATGCAAAGAAATGATTTTTTTTTGTTTCAATAGCATATGTTTATTTTGTGATGTAACTCGTATTATGGAAAATGTAACTCGTGTTGATAGAAAGTCTAACTTAAGTGTATGCAAAATGTAACTTGCCGAGGCAAGACTAAATGTTAATTATTTGCACGTTGGAAGATGTAACTCATTCATAAAAAGTTGTAACTCACGTACAAGAAGATGTAACTTCAGAATATCAAATGTAACTTCAAAAATTGTCAATAAACATCACTCACAAATGTAGAAACATAAATCACACTTATGAAATTGTAATCTCATATAGACAAATATAAGAGAGATAATAAATACCCCCTCCGTCCCCCTTTAAATGTCCCGGAAGAGGGTGACACGAGTTTTAAGAAAAGTGGGTTTGTGTGGTTGATAATAATTGAAAAGGTAAGAATAAAGTAAGAATGATTTTGAGTCACACAAACTTTACCAAATAAGGTATGAGACAATTAAACAGGGACATCCCAATATGGTAAAATGGGACATTTAATAGGGGACGGAGGGAGTATATTATAGGAAAAAGTGTGAATATGAAAAAATATACTCCCCCCGTCCCTTAAAACTTTGCCAATTTTGACCGGCACGGGGATTAATAAAGTAAAAACTGTGTGGTAGAGGTTTGTGCAGAGGAGAGAGAATTCATTGTAGCCACAAATTCTTTACTTCAAATGGAAAGTGGCAAAGTTAGTGGGACATCCAAAAAAGGAAAGTTGGCAAAGTTTTAAGGGACAGAGGGAGTATTACAAATAAGTGTATAAATATAGAAAATAATTATTTTGAATAAAAAATAATTAATTATTGGTTGTAATTTTAGTTGAATAAAAAAGGAAAAATTTAGCAATAAGGAGTAAGAAAAAGTAATTAATTTATTTGAAAAGATGAAAATTTGAACAAATAATTGTAATACTTCCTGGTGTTCTTAAATTAAATAAAAAATTGTTGGAAACGTGATAACTTTTAAAGTTTGGATGATGAAAAAATTTTAAAGTAAAAAAACAAAAAGCTAAGAAACGTGAGTGAGCCGATTATCCGACTAAAAATGTGCAAACAAGTAGAAAATTGTGCTTTGCTATCTTTTTTAATTGTGAAATGACACTGTTTTGGGATCGGCGCACTGTGCGGACGGTGGATCGATTCCACGGTATAATCTGCAAAAATTTTCCTTCAAATAATAGATCTAGCTGTAAAACAAGTACACATGTCATAAAATGAGTGGATAGGCACGGTACTTTAATTTGTGAAGGTACTCGAATTAGTTCGTATACCGTGGGATCGTCCCACGGTGAGCACCGTGCTCCACTCCCAAAACGACGTAGTTTTGAACAATTTTTTAAAAAAATCGCGTGAACAGTACACGCGTGAACAGTACACGCGTGTACATTGACTATTTTTTCTTTCTTTTTGTTCCAGTAGAGTGAATGGTGTAACTCGCGTTTAAAAATATGCAACTTACGTTATTGATCGATGTAACTCAAATTCATTCGAAATGTAACTTGTCAAATACATAGTATATGAAATTAAATATTGATTTCAATGTAAACAATGAAAAAAGAGAGTCTAATTGCACAGTTGTTTTAGGTAAACCATGAGTATGTTTTATTTTTAATATCATGACCATAAAAAATATTTTTTTTTTAAAATCATTTTTTGTTTCAATAGCAGGGGTTCATTTTTTAATGTAACTCATGTTATTACAAATGTAATTAACGTTAATAGCAAATATAACTTAGGTGTGTACAGAATGTAACTTGTTGGAAAATTGAACAATGATTTTTTTGTGTTTGAGAATTATATATATATTATAAACATTGATTTCAATGTAAACAATGAAAAATTGATCCTAATAGCTTAATTACTTTTTTTTAAATAGTGAATATATTTTATTTTTAATATTAGGGATATAAAAATGATATTGCAGTGGTTTATTCCGTGGTGTAACTCCCATACATTAAGATGTAACTCGCGTCTATTAATTAAGATGTAACTCGCATTCATTAAGATGTAACTCGCGTACATTAAGATCTAAGTCGCGCAGGAAAAGATATAACTTCATGATATATTATCAAATATAACTTGAAGAATCAAAATAAACAAACTCAATGTATTAAAAACCTCTAAAAAGATATAAAAGTGCCAAAAAAATTATATTATAGAAAAAGTGTGTGCATACAAAAACATATTACAAAAAATGTATGAATATAAAAAGCATATTATAAAAAAAGTATATGGATATAAAAAATATTACATAAACAAAAATAGTGTATGAACATGAGATGCAATATACTTATTTTATTTGGATTAATAAACTTTTTGTTAAAAAATAAAAATGATAGATTCAATTATAATTTAAGATGAAGATAAAGAAAAGTAGGATTACAATTAAATTTTTGGTATTTTAATTTGATGCAAAAAGAAAAGAATTGAATAAAAGAAAAAAAATAAAGACAAGCAAAGAAAAAAGAAATAACAAAGCTGCAGATAAAGGATGAGGGAAAAGGAAAGTCATGTAACTTCCTTAAAAAATGGGATCGACACACCATACTGTGGCTCTACCGTATAATTTGTGTACCCAAATAGTCACCTTACTTACACGCATGCATGGTCTTTAAGTGTTGCTCGCTATTAACACGGGATGACTGTACTACATATTTTAATTGGGAATTTCTATTATTAATAGCGTAAAATCTTTAAATAGGTGCAATATCTATTTTTTCCCTAAAATAAGAATTAATTACTACTAGTATTACGTATTACGTTTTAAAATCACAATTGTCATATAAGTAATTACGGAGTATATTACTCTATCAGTCTATCTTATTGAGTAATTATTACTACTCCGTTTTAAAATCGCTTTTTTCATATACCAGTAAGTAATTCGGAGTATATTACACTTATCTTATTGAGTAATTACTTTAATGTAATTACACTATAAAAGGGACTGCCCCATTATTTGGTTTGTTCAGAATCGATCATATATCATTCATCACCACAATAAAAAATTACCCGAGCGTAGTACCAATCGACCGATGGAGACGATGAGCCGGAAGGCGGCGGCGGCTAAGGGCAGCAGCGGCAGTTTAGGCAACATAAAACTTCTTCTCTTTATCGTTTGGTTTGCCGTAGTCAGCAGCAGTCTTGCTTTTGTTGGCGTGGATGCGAGCGGCGGAAGGAGGCTGAAGACGGTCGTCGTGGTCAAAGGGTTCCCATCAGCGGTCAATGATCATGTCCCGCCGCCGGGTTACTATTCCGTGATGTTACGAAAGGGCGATAGGGAACCGCCGTCCGCACCGTCACCCTATATTAATCACAAAGACTCTCCGCCTCCGGAGTCGTCTTGAGGATTTCGGAGACCCCACACAAAAAAAATTATCATATTCAAATCATAAAAAATCATATGAAAAAAGCATATTCAAATTGAAGATAAAACGTGAACGTCCAAAGGAAAAAATCATGAAAAAGAATTTGACTAGTTATCTCAACTTATTCTTTCTCTTGGTACTAATATATACTACTTAATACAAAAATCATAAACAATAAATTAACAAAAACCAAGAATCTATAAATGAAAATGACAAATCAAAGAACATAAATAATTTAGTAATACCAATACCATCACATTAATTTCATGTTTATATCATACGACATATAATCTAATCCATACAATACCAATTTGTTTTACCAGTATAATAATATTAACCCAATAATTTTTAGATTACACCTATTTGTCATACATTCAACATATTAAATATTTAACTTTACACCTTTACTCCTTAAGTAGACATTATTTCACTGTATTCACACTAAAACACTTGTAGTACTAAAAAGTTAAAATCCTTATTACCTTATTTAGACATCTACACGTGACACGTCGCTGCCTGCTGGATGCGTAGAAAATAATTTTCCTATTCTAGTTTTCAATTATTAAGTAATTATACATAATACTAATAGTAATATCTTTGATTTTGGAGACCCTTGGCATGTGAGGCCCAAGACAGTTGTCTGGGCTAACCCCCCAAAGCCTCTCGCCTCCTAGAACCAAGCACTAGAACTGAGATCACCGTGTTCATTAAGCCATTCATTATATCTATCATATTATCATTAAGCAAGTCATGCAGTAGTATGTACCATGCACTGTTTAAAAAACGTATATTACCGTTTATCTTAATTCGTATTAATTAAGTACGAGTAGTTAATTTGAAGGAATCTTTAATTTATGCATATTTATTATTCATAAATGATAAATGACGCCCTTTTAATTTGTCACTTAATTACATTATACTACTATTATGCGTATGTAGTATTTTTTTGACTGGTACTGTGCGTAGTTTGTTTTTTAGTATGCGTAGTATTATACACTTATACTACTACTACGTATTAGTTACTCATTTATATATTACTCTCTCTGTTGAGAAAATTTGGTCTTATTGATTTGTTTTTTGTCAATGATGATCAAGTTTCACTAATGATATCATTTAGAAAACTAGACAGTTCCCTAACTAGGACTAAAAGATGATGAAAGTGCTCAAATAGGACATTAATCTTCCTTGATCTTCCACAGGACCAGGGCCGTCTAATAAATTTGGAGGCTCCAGTTCTAAATGTAAATTAAGGCCCACATTAATATGAAAAGTTAAAAAAAATCTCAATCTAAATACGTAGACTGAAATCAATTGAATACACGTTAAAAGAGAACCAAAAGAGTGAAAGGACCAACGAAAAAAATGATGGATCTATATTTTTCTTCCTTACTAAATGTATTTTATTGATTAGTATTAATATATAATATTACTATATAATACTAATAAATTTTAAAAAATTTGGGGCCCCGTAATTCTGGAGCCCTGTTCTGGATAACCTATTGAACCCCCTAAAAACGGCCCTTCACAGGACTAAAAGTAACTAAGTAGACAAAAGTACACTTAATGAAAGCCTAATTTAAGACAAAAAACAATCAACCAGATGCACTGCATCTAGATATGCACTGCAGCTAGGACATATATACTATCACACTAAAATTCATGCCGGTCTGCCACCATGTCATGTGCCGCTGCCGCCGACTACCATGCCGACCACCGTCGCCGGTGGCGGCTGGGGTCGCCGGTAGCGGCTGCGGGTGGCAGCGTTGCTTAATCCATCGCCGCTCTGAAACAAGTCTCAATCTGCCCACGCCATGTTCTTTAGTGCCGCCGCCAGCCTCCGGGCAAGTCCTCGTATGCATCTACATGGATTGCCGACATATCCTCCACCACCACTGTTAATTCCTCTAGTGCGTCTGTTTCCGACGAGTTGGTTGCCGATCTCATGCTTGATAGATTACCAAAATCATTAAAATAATGAAATATTTTTTAATGCCATGTTAAAATTATAATGTCATTTTATAACAAAATACATGGCAATAACGGTTGCAAGACATGGAATTATTTGCCATCTTTATGAAGTTAGTGTCAACTTCACAAATGTAAAATGACATTATTTACCAAACATATTGAAAAACATGGTATTTATAAAATAATTTTGTTATCTTAATACATTTAGTATCGTAAAAATGAAATTGCTTTCAAATAGATTTTCGAAAAATAAACAGTGGTTATAGAATCTTCAGATCCAAATTCATGAAATTGAAAATTTTAAGATTAAAAATCAAAATAAATAAATTAAAATCAGATTCAACTTTTTTCAATCCCTGGAGTATGTATTTTAATAATAAAAGGTTAAATCTAAATTTTTTGGATAACCAACTTTTGGAGCCTCAGATTTTTCATAGCTGAAATTTCAAATCTAAATCTAAAAATTTCCATTTTGAATGTGAAAATTAAAAAAATCACAAAACTCAAGTGAAGAAGAAGAAGAAGAAGAAAAGGAGGAGGATGAGAAGGAAAAGGAGGAGTATGAAGAGAAGGGAGATACTTACCGGAAAAGACTGTCACGTAGCCAGATTTGAACCACGCTAGAGTCGTAGCAACCGTCGTCGAAGTCACTGCCGCTGCCACCGGAGTAGAAGGATGAAGAATGGAGATCAGAACCATGCGAGACCAAAAATTCAGAAAGTGAAGAGAGAATGGAGGAGAGAGGAAAGAAGAGATAAAAAATAGGAAGACGTTCCTGGAATGTAAAGGCCTTGGGTGCGTGACAGATGCAAAGGGAAAGAGAAAAATAAGAGGGGTAATTCAGTTAGTTAAAAATTAATGGTACTATTTTGGAAATAAAAATACATGAGATCCTATTTAGGCATTACTCTTATGTTTTAGTCCTATTTAGGTTAATTAATTTTTTTAAAAATATTAAAATATAAATACGTAGTATTATATATATGGAAATGTATTTTATTAGAGATATTTTCATAAAATTATAATGATTATAAACTTCTCACAAATGTATCACATAAATTATTGTTCAAAGTTTATTATCATTGATTACAAAAAGTCAATTTGGCCAATTTTTATGGGAAGGGGGAGTACTATGATGTATGTAGGTTCGAATCTTAGTTTCGGCTCTTCCATAGTTCCATCACATTTATTCTCTTATTGTGTTTAAATGACAACAGATTTTATTTGAATTCTTTGAAATTATATGGAACACATTAGATGTGGTTAGTTATAACGAGTTATGTGTTGGCAAACGTTGAAAGTGAACACAAGTACACCTTTGATTACAACACACTCTCCCCGTCAGAATGATATTTCGATTTTGGAAAGAAATATGTGATCCATGACATTTCATTTTATTACTCAAATTTTAACCATAACTTTTACCCTTTTCAACCAAGGTTTTAACAATGAACTAATATAGTATTATCTATATTATCCAGTATTATCTTTATTCGAAATCCACACATATATAATATACTAAAAAAACACGTGTTAGGATCACCATGCATAGATGCAACTAAAATTAACAAAGAATGACATAAGTGTTTCTTAAATTTTAATGACAAATGCGTATGTGAATAGTGCATGTAACACCCCAAAAATTTGAGAAATATTCTATACTGTGATTTAAATCATTTATTATGTACGGAGTATGATTCAGTGTTTGGGAGCAAATTAGAGAGGTCCAAAAAAATGGAGCAAGCATGATTAAAGAGTAATTGGGTGCCTTAGAGCCACGCCTCACGTGCACTACTAAAAAAAGAGCTTTTAACAATGAAAAATATCATCGTTATAGACTGAAAAGTTGGTCGTTAAAGCTTTCAACGGCCCCTTTTTTTTTCGTCGTCAAGTGGTTATTATTAATAATGTCTAGAATTAACTAGGACTATGTTGATTGATTCTTCTATTCCTGGTCACTTCTGGTTAGATGCCCTTTATACTGTGGGCTTACTCCGTATGAAAAACTTTTTAATAAAATTCCGGATTATAATTTTTTGCGTGTGTTTGGTTGTTCATGCTTTCCTAGTTTTGTTGCCGCCTCTCACAACAAGTTATCACCCCACTCTATACACTGCTTTTATTGGCTATGCACCGGGCTACAAAGACTACCGTTGTCTTTCCCCTTCCACTGGTCATGTTTATGTTAGGGAACTCACCTTTCATGAAAATGTTTTTCCATATCCTACCTTGGTCGATCTCAACCACTACATTCCGGACCCCTAGCCTCTCAACCTCCTGGCTATCCACTTCGTTCCACAACATCACCTGTCCAACGCCGGTCCAAATAAGTAGCTCGTCTCTACTTCCTTCTCCTAATCTACCACCATCCCCCGAGACCACTACACTGTAGACAACTCCACCAGACTCCCCACTCGTGACACCATCTCCTAGACTACCCTCACCACCCATATCCCCTCCAGTCGAACCCGGCCTTCCCAGTCGCGATACCCACTACCGACGGTCTGCACTAGTGCGCACTTATTGTGCACGGCGTGGGTATCAAAGAAGTTCGTAACAAAGCTATTGGCAGGTGGGCACGGTGGTCCGCACGGCGTGCGGGCACCCGCGCTTCGGAAACGTGCCCCGTGCATGGCGTGTGCAACTTTTTTTGGCCCACTTTGGCCCAAATTCGATCAGTAATCATAAATAAACATCTTTCTCGATTTCCTTCTAACTTTAAACCCTAATGCCGACCTCCTAGACTACTTTTCCTCAAGATCTTCATTCGTAAAATGAAATTTGAGGCCATGAAGAAGCTAATTCAACCAAATCTTCCGATAAGTGCGTTTTTACATATTTCTTTCCGTTTGGAATTGCCTCCATCTTTTTCCATTGCGAGAGGTCCGGGAAAAAGAAAAAAAGTCATGAAAATCTTGTCAATGTACGAGATGAAGTGAGACATGCATATCTAAATGTTGGACCTTAGCAACCGAAAATGGATGTTTATCTAATTACAAAGTTTGGGCCTCAAAATCGAAGTTTTCAGGAACAATGATTTGATAAGTTTAATTGGTTAGAGTACTCACCTTTGTTTGATAAGCTTACTGCATATTTCTATTGCTTCCCTTTCTTGAGTGACATTCATATGCATACTACTTCTACATGAGTTAATGAAGAATTTGGAAATTGGAAGAGGATATATAAATCAAGGAAATATATGTGCATTTTTTCAGCACATTGGTTCTACAACATTATCACCTCATATTAGTTGTGTTAGAAGAGTTGAAATTTGAGGCAACCATTTGGCCATATTAACAATGTTTGGCACACACAATCGCAATAAGAAGAGGAGAAAAATCATTTGTGATTGAAAACTTCTATTATAATTGTCCGATGGTTAGCACTTTATGGTTGCGCCTTTAGAGGTCATGATGAATCTCTAATGTCATCAAATCGGGGAAACTTTATTGAACTAGTGAAAGCTTTCACGAGTATGAATACCACAGTTCATGAAATTGGGCTTGAAAATGCTCCGAAAAATTCTGAGTACATTGCTCCCAAGATTCAAAAGGAGACATTGCAAATGGTTGTGAAGAATTGCAAATAGTTGTCTCTGCATTCTTGTTGATGAAGCACAAGATATATCTAAACAGGAGCTAATGACGATTTTTTATAAGGTTTATGAACACCATACCACTTTTAGTGTCACGATATGATTGTTATATATGTAAGGAAAAAGTACGGAAAAGGTACTTGTGGTTGAGCCCATTTTCAGATAGGGTCATGTGTTTCATTCTTTATCAAAGTGGTTCATGTGTTTGAATTCCGTTATCACAAAAGGGTCACGCTGTTAAAAACGTCTGAAAAAGACCGTTAAAAGTAACTCCGATTTTCAAAAGTGCCCGAAAAATTAAAAGAAAAATACCGGAAGGTGCACCCCAATAAGACGACCATTATGCCATCTTTCTTTTTTGTTTTCAGCCACCATTGTCACCGGAAAAGTCCATCGGAAAGTGATATTAGCGAAATCATTTTCAAAAAATAATTCAAACAGATCTGAAAAATCCAGAGGCGAAGGTGGTTTGGATGTCAGCTTGATGAGGCGCACCTTTCGGTATTTTTCTTTTAATTTTTTGGGCACTTTTGAAAATCGAAGTTACTTTTAACGGTCTTTTCAGGAGTTTTTAACGGCGTGACTCTCTTGTGATAACACAATTCAAACACATGAACTACTTTGATAAAGAATGAAACACATGGCCCTGTCTGAAAACGGGCCCATCCACAAATACTTTTTCCGTACTTATCCCTATATGTAATTAATAAAACTTTCCGAGAGCTGAAATTCTCGGCAAAAATATATCAAGATTATATAAATATATACACTACAGTAAAAATAACTTTATCTTCTGGAGATAAAAAATTTGATTCCAATTGAAAATATCCTTAATTAGAAAAGTGAAAATTTTACGCGTGCCATTGCGTGTTTTGGTTTTTATTCTACCGAGATTTATTTGCGTCGTGTAAAAGTGAAAGTTAATTTTTAGTTCGATGTATCATGAACATTGTGATGATTTTTCATTTTCAAAATGAGGGGCAAATTTGTTTGTGTTTTAATTTTTGTTGCATAAATTTGAGATAGTTTTAAGGCAATTTTGTATTTGTCAAATTTTAACACATGCAGTATTGCTATTAAACACATCTTACCTTTATTTTGAAACATTGACTTATAAAGTTAAATGAACTCATTTCATAAATTAGTACATGAATAAAAAATGTATTCATGATTTCGAAATGTTTTTAAGATTTGTTTTTCTCAATTAGATCGTTATCAAGGATTTAGTTAGAAAGGTTTCCTGTATAATTTTTGAAATTCCTTTTTGCATTTTAGTACCAAATCATGTGTCACCGTCTCAATTTTTGGCGACAAATAATTTTTTTCTCATGAATACTTTTAAAATATGAATGATCAACTCCGTAATAAGCTAGTTAATTCCAAAATTTATTCATGAATACTTTAAGTAGACTTATTGAATTCTAATCTAACATATATGGAGTTCTAAATTTTATGAACAACTCCATTAAAAACGTTTTTAATTACACTGGTTTTTTGTTTGATTTATCTATTCTGATCGAGTCTGGTCTGATCTGATCGGGTCAAGCAATATTATCCTAGCATTTTTAGCTCTTTTTGTCAAATGGATTTAGCTCATGATACCAACAGTTCAAATGTAACATTTCAAAATTCAGCTTTAGACAATAGCCTTTAGTTCAAACAATAGCTTTTTAATTCAGACATTAGAATTCACCTACATTTTGAAGTGCCAATCATAACCCTAATCTATGAGCCCGTTTGAATATTGAGAAAATCTTATATAAATAATGTATAGAACTTTGTTGAATTCTAAATCGAACACGACAAAATTTCCATAACTCTTAATTGTATTTTTAATTTATTGGAAAAAAGTATTAACAATAAGATTTTTAAAAAATTCTATACTTGTTTTACATTTGGAAAACATGCACCTAAAGTTAGTTTATAATACGTAGTAACTTTTTATTAGTCATTATATATTACACCGTATGTGTACTACAAAGAATTACTCAAAATATTAATTTCAAAATTTTAAAATATAATTATAAATCATGAAAATTTTGTTGTGTTTAATTAGAATCCATAAGGTTCCCAACAAAATAAACTCCCATGTTTAATTTAATATGATACTACATCCGTTCCACTAACATTGGAACATGAGGGGGGAAACAAATTATTAAGAAAAAAATGAATTTATGTGGTTAATATTTAATTGTTAAAGTAAGAATAAAGTAAAAAAGAATTAGAACAACACAAATTTTATCAAATTTGGTATGAGACAATCATAGCGGAATTTACCAAAAAATGAAAAATGAGACAACCTTAGCGAAATGAATGGAGTATAACTTTTTTATCTGTACTCCAATTGTTACAAAAATGTATCAAAATTTATAACTTTTTATTATCTTTCATATGACACAAATATCGAGTATATAAAAATTAAAAAACAATTTAACACTTTAAAATATATGTATTTTTAAGTGCTAACTATAGCATTTTTATTTGTACTCCGATTGTCACAAAAATTATATCAAATTCATTAATTTTTATGATCTTTTAATGAAACCAATATTGAATATCTGAAAATAAAAAAATAATGTAACACTTTAAAATAACATCCTTTTCTTAAAGCTACAATAACTTTTTTTATTTATACTCCAATTATTACAAAAAATATATTCAAATTACTATCTTTTTATTATTTAACATTGATATTAATTGCATATATGAATTACACAGTGACATTTTGGTAAATATTGTGAAAATGTGAAAATGTGCAATATACAAGCTTCGTTGTGCAACACGTTGGGGTAAATGTGGTGTTCTCACGTTCTCACATTAAGCTTTGTTCTGATATGATCTTTATTATATATATATATATATGTGTGTGTGTGTGTGTGTGTGTGTGTGTGTGTATGTATGTATATATATATATATATATATCCGGTACTAATTTATATACACATTGCAACTTAATTATTTTGAGGAAAAGGTACTCTGCTATGTTTTTCAATCCAAAGCTAAGGCGACCTAATATAATAGTCCAATTGAATATTTGATGTGCCTTAGCTTACTTGCTAGTTGCTAGTACTTGCTACCACTCGCATACACGTGACCCGTTGGTAGTTGGTATACCGTGAGATCAAGCCATGGTGAGCATAATGCTTCCACATCTAATTCACACGTGAACAGTAACACGCGTGAATAGTAACATTTTTTTGTTTCCAGTAGCAGAGTGATGTAACTTGTCTGTAATGAGATGTAACTCACGTTAATATGCAATGTAACTGTAGGCAAGTTGCGATGTAACTTTTCTAATAAGAAGAAGAAAAAATAAAATATTGATTTCAATGTAAACAATGAAAAAAGTAGTCTAATTTCACAATTACTTTACATAAGTAGTGGATATGTTTTTTTTAATATTTTAAGGCCATACATTTTTTTTAAATACCTTTTTTTTTTCAAAAAATCATTTTTTTTTGCAAAAAAAAATGATTTTTTTTTGTTTTAATAGCAAAAAAAAATGATTTTGGTATGTAAATAATGTTATGGAAAATGTAACTCACGTTGATGAGAAATCTAACTTAAGTGTATGCAAAATGTAACTTGTTGAGACAAGTCTAAGTGTAACTCGCGCACAATTAAGAAGATATAACTCACACACAAAAAGATGTAACTCGTTCATAAAAATATGTAAATCCATATGATACCAAATGTAACTATAGAATTTGTCTATAAACATAACTCACACGTATGAAAAATGTAATCTCACGATTTTTCTATCTTAATGTCTTTACAAGGCAAAATAACATATAAAAAGATAAGAAATATATTATACAAAAAAGTGTATGAATATAAAAATATTTTTTTAAAAATGTATATATATATATATGTAAAAACATTACAAAAAAAATAAATTCGTGAGTAATTTTAGTTGAAGGAAAAAAGTAAAAAGTAGTGTATGATTATGAAATATGATATACTTATTTTATGTGGATTAATAAAATTTTGTAATAAATTGGTAAGGAAAAAAATTAATTCAGTTGTAAATTAATTAGTTAAAGATAAAGATAAGTAAAAAATCACAAATAATTAGATGTAACTCGCGCATAAGGAGATGTAACTCACGCATAACAAAATGTTACTTACGCATAATAAGATGTAACTTGATCATAAAAGATGTAATCTCATGATATATTATCAAATGTAACTTCATGAATCAAAATAAACAAACTCAATGTTTTAAAAACCTCTCAAACATATAAAAGAGAGAATATATATATATATATATATATATATATATATATATATATATATATATATATATATATATATATATATATATATATATATATATTATAGAAAAAGTGTATACATATAAAAATATATTACAAAAAAGTGTATGAATATAAAAATATATTGCAAAAAAAGTGTGTGAATATAAAAAATATTACAGAAATAAAAAAGTGTATGAATATGAAATGCAATATACTTATTTTATTTATATTAATAAACTCTTTGTTATGTATTGATAAAGAATAAGAAAAAAAGATTCAATTATAATTTAAGATGAAGATAAAGAAAAAGTAAAAATGAAATTAAATTATTAGTAATTTAATTTGATGGAAAAGGAGAAGAATTGAACAAAAGAAAAATAGATAAAAAAGAAAGGAAGAAGGGAATCAAAGCTCCAGACAAATGAAGTGCAAAAAAGAAAGTAACGTAAGTTCCCATTTTATATGAAGATCAAATGATATACGAATAACCAATAGAGTAAATGAATTGTTTAAAGAGTAAAAACTCACTTTCGAATTGTAAATGAATTTCGAGAAAAGTGAACAAGAAAAAATTATATACGATCAAATTAAATAAAAACTCACTTTATGTACTTAATCCTGTTATAGAACGGTTGCAAAATAACGTATTTTTAACGCGTACTAGTATAATACTCGTGCATTGCACATGATAATATTTGCAAAATATATCAAATCGATATTAGAATAGAGTTTAATTTTGTAATGAGACAGAAAAAATGTAATCAAATACGGAATAAAAAATAATACAAACATCGTTGTCTACATCCTCATATATGTACAACACTTCTTTTCAGTGGCGGAACCAACTTCGTGATCTTGAAGGGACACATTACCTCAGAAGGCTCGGATCTTTACTACCTTTAGAAATCTGTGTACAAAATTGATTCATATGAATTCTTTGTCAAACTTGAGCCTGACTATCCACAACAACAAAAAATAACAAGCTCAGTACATGGCTATAGCCCAAAATACACAATAGCAAAGCCGCTACGCCAGTCACCTCAAAACAATAATGCTCTCGATCAATCGCTAGACCTAGTGCTCGCCAGCGTTATTCATTTATTCTTGCCTAATTCCGGCGAATTCCAAAGAAACTCGCTCAATGTAATCAACCCTCCAAGCTTCAAAGTTAGTAGTCAAGCTCATAAATATATTACTCCCTTTGTTTTGTTAAGATTTTCTTACATTTTCTTTTCAGTCTGCCTCATTAACATTGATCAATATCAAATTTGATTGTGGTTCTAAATTATTCTTACATTCAAAAGTTGATTGTCGACCACCATGTATAATATATATATATAGAGAGAGAGTCATTCTCCTATCCAGCAGCCCCGGTCCGAAGTCCGAACGTCGTCCGAACACCGCCGTTTGGGGAGGTTCCAGGTGTAATTTTTTCATGAAATATTTTGAGCAAGTTCCTCATCAAGTCTAGTTTATTCATACCAAATTTAAGCTTAAAATTAGATCGGGAAGGCAGTCAAACAATTTGTTGAAGTTAACTGCGCCAAATTATACATAGAAAAATGCAGTTAACTTCAAAAAATTATTTTACTGCCTTCCCGATCGAATTTTAAGCTGAAATATAATATGGATAAACTAAACTTGATGAGGAACATGCTCAAAAAATTTTATCAAAATATTCCACCGGAAGCCGCCCCAAACAGCAGTGTTCCGACAGTGTTCGGACAGAAACGTGCTGAACCTGAAAATTTTTCTCTATATATATAATAAAAAGAAATCTGCAGAGCCGCAGGGGCACAAGCACCCCCAAGCTCTAGTGTAGTTCCGCCCCTGCTTCTTTTATATTGACATGCAAACCATTGAGTTAACTGGTTCATCATTATTTACAACTTTTCATATGTCTTGTCTAATCGGGGCGTGAAAGTCTTTAGGGTTGGAGATTTTACCTTTTGGAGGAAAGAATGTCATTTACCTGATTTTGAGATTTCTGGTTAGAATTCAAATTATAGAACGACACATCCGTTAATCACGTACAAATATAGTAGGATTCGAACTAAAGTGACTGGGTGGGGAGTAATTACTTACACACATGCAATGCATGGCTTTTAAAGTTCCCAATGTGTATTAAAAAAGATTCTATTGTGAGAGAGATATTTCAAGTACACTATAAAAGGGTTATTCACAAGGTATATCATCACCAAATAATTTCAGGCAAGACGTAATATCAAATATTTGTTTTGCTTGAACATCGACTGAGAAGATGTGTAGAACTGCGGCGCCGGCGGCGCCAGTGGCTGAGGGCAGAACTGGCGGCGTGGCCGGTTTGGGTTCCATTAAACTTCTTCTTGTCATCTGGTTTGTTGTCAGCATCAGCATTGTTCTTGGCGTGGATGCAAGTGGCGGAGGGAGGTTGAAGACGGTTGTTGTCGTCAGCAATAACACTCCGCCGTCGCCATATAATTACTCGGCGATGCTACCAAAGGGTGGAGCGATTCCGCCGTCGGGGCCGTCACCCGGTAATAATCGCAACGCCGCCCCTCGGCTTGCGTCTCCAGACCCTCCGCCCAGTATGAAGCAGCACTGAGTTCGGTCATCTTATTCATCAAGCAATGGATTATCTTTATTTGCTCTTTTTGAATGAATGCCCAACGCGCCCCATGCCAGTCGTATTTTTGTTAATTACCATCGTATTCACAAATGATTGTCTTTTAAATCTTCACTTAATTACTTTAGCTACACATTTACATATGATGATTTGATCAAATCTAAGTTAAAGTTCTTTGATACGTAGTATTAGACTACAAACTTCACTAATTATTAAGTTATATGGAGTAATTATCCTTCGCGCATCCAACTACTAAAAAACATTGGTTTTTGCACATATTTGGTGCGGATTCATCAAAATTATTACCGTATTCGGTACACATTGTCTCAAAAATATGTTATGATTCATATCAAACTCGGTCAATTTGTATCAATAACTTCCGGTTGAAGTTAGATTACTTTGTATTTTGATGTTTTTGCTTGACGATCATTTTGTTTTTTGTTTAGATATGTTTAACTTGGGTGTTTTCTTTTGGATTGTTTTTAGTCTCAGACCAAACCAGACCAGATCAGACCAGACTTCTATAGTTATAAAATACACACAGACTAGATGTTTATCAGGCCAAACCAGACCAGATCAGATAAGACCAGACAAGCAAATTTCATTTTCAAAGAAAACATCCTTGATCCACACATGCATAGATGCCTGAGCACTTCGGAAGTTTTTAAAGTTGTGCTTTTTGAACCCTTATGGACTAGCCCAATAGGTCGGCCCAATCGTCTGGGCTGATTTTTGGGAGCCCAATAGGATTGTTTGGCTGATTTTAAATTGGAAGTCTAAGAATAACATATGAGTAACGTAATTATTTCATATTTTATTCAATCCTTTAAAACGGATAAAATATGGACAATGAGTGTGCTCTACAATTTCATCCAAGCAGTATAATGTCTTTTTCTACGGAGCAGAAAACGATTTTAAAATGTAAATTCAAATTAAAAAATACGATAGTATATACTCCCTCTGTCCCATAATTAACTTCGGTTTTGACTGGACACGAGGATTAAGATAGTGGGATTTGTGTGGTGGAGAGTTGTGCAGAGGAGAGAGAAATGTGTAAAAATGATTGTGAACCACATATTCTTTATCAAAAAAGGAAAGAGGAGATAAATTTGGGACGGACCGAAAAGGAAAGAATAAAGATAATTTCGGGACGGAGGGAGTATATTTTATTTGAATCCCAAATTTAAAAATATGTTTTAAATATTAGTACTGTATGAAATTATACTCCGTGTATTGGAACACTTTCAAAAAACATTTTCAAAAAAATCTTTATATCAGCCAGTTTAATTTGAACCCTTGCCTACCCCGTTGCGGAGTGCTGACATACCGCTTATCTATGCATCGTTACATTTTTTCACACATAAACATTAAGTACTAGGTATGGTACGGAACCAATAAACGGGTTTAGAAATTAGTTCAAATAGGATTAAAACTATGACAAAAACCTAAAATAGGACTTGTTATGTTTTTATTCCAAAATAGGACCATATGAGTTCTATCGGAAACATACCTATTTTTGCATTCCATTCTTACCCTTCCATTAAATATGAATTAAAAATAGTCAAAAGCCATAATTAAATGTTTAATTCATAATAAATTCGAAAAAAAATAAAAAATTCGTAGAAATATAATTAAAAAATTTATAAATTTTTTATAAAATAAAAAATTCAAAAAAAAATTTCTAAAATAATTTTATTTTTAAAAAAAATAATAAAAAATAGTAAAACTCCGTAAAAAAATTTTAAAAAATATGGATGCCTTTCCCACCGCCTGTACTACCTCCCAGCACCACCACCTCCGGCCGATGAAAAAAATGCCATTTTTTTCTGAAAATGCCAAAAAAGTGGCAAATTTCTCTTTTCGAATGCCAACATTTTCATTTTTTTCTTCCATAAATATGGCATTCGTAATGAACTTGGCATTTTTTTCCCCTGATGACTGGAGGTGGTGGTGCTGAGGTGGCAGAGGCGGCGGTGATTTTTTTTTTTGAGTTTTTTTTTTATTTTTATTTTTTTTTTAATTTTTTTAATTTTTTGAAAAAAATATATAATTAAATTTTTAATATCGAAATGTTTTCCTTAATTTTTTAGTATTTTTTACGAATTTTTATTATTTTTTATTATTTTATTAGGAATTAAAACATTTTAATAGCTATAAAGGTATAATTGTCCAAGGTACGCATAATTAGTCCTATGCAAACATAGTTCATTTTTTGGTCCTATTTGTGAAAAGTGAATGACTTTTAGTCCTATTTTGATAATTAACTCTAAACGGGTTTTGAAAGGAATCTCAAACTTTTTTATCCTGAATCGAACCGTACTGATTTCAAAAAATGTCATGACGGGATCTCATAAAATGAAAACTAGTATCAAACCGAGTCAGACCAAAGTATGGTTAAATTATTTAAATTTGTACTATTATAGTTTATTTATCTGAAATTTATTAATTACTCCATCCGTCCCAAAGTGATTTGCAAAGTCAACATTTGTTGGTCAACCAATGTTAATGTTAAATCCTCCCTATATATTGATAATTTATACCATAGTACAATTTTTAAGATTTAAAATTTACGTATTTAGAAATCACATTAAAATATCTTTAAAGTTTCAAAATCCAAATTAGAATATACTATTTTTGAAAGGCCAAATTAGAATATAATTAAAAGCTGATATCCTAAATAAGTGAATGAAAATAAATTGTTTACCAAAAAAAGATCGACTTTATAAATCAGTTTGGGACGGATGTAGTGTGAAATATTAATATCCCAAACGCATAGACCTGCCTTTGGGATGATCTGAATAAAGTACTATATCTATCCCTTAAAACTTTGCCAACTTTTCCTTTTTGGATGTCTCACTAACTTTGACGCTTTTTCTTCTAAGTAAAAAATTTATGGTTCCAGACTTCCAGTTAATTCTCTCTCCTCTACACAAATGTCAACCACATGAGTTTATTTTATTAATCCTCTTACCGATCAAACGATTGAATGATTGATAATGATGAATAGATGATCCATGTCCACATGTTGTCAAACACTAGACGTTAATCACATACGTAGGTATTAGTTTAGTGTAATATCATCAAAACGACATGATTTAATTATGTCCATCATATTCCCCGACCAGCATTAAGTCTTAGGCCCGTTAGTTCCATTAATACACCCAAAAAATGGGTCACAGCCCATGCACACACCAATCAACCCCCAACTCTGCCATACATGTCTGAATGTTTTGAACACCATAAAAAAGACAAAACTACTTGATGTACACATCCTTGTACGCACCTTATACACACCATGTTTGTAAAGTTTTTTTTCTCTGTGAATCCGGTTCACAGACAATATTTTGTTTGTGCAAAATATTGTCTGTGAGTCGATGTTCACAGACAAAAAAAAACCTTTCACAAACATAGGCGTGTACAAAAGTGTGTATAAGAGTGTGTACAAAAGATTTTTTTGAAAAAAAAGATGGCTAGTCTGGTCTTTGGTCGTAAGAGGCCTACTCCATCCTTCATGGGTCCGTATACACTATATCCGGCTATATGGTGTACACCGAACAGTCAGTGACATTTTTGTAATTTAAGTAAAAATTACGACTTCTGTTAAATGACTATTAATGTATTTGTAATGAGCATTAGACTTGATCGTTTGAGTATTAGGAGTCTTATGATGAGTATCTTGATCACTTTTTCATACGGTGTATTTTTTAATTCACTTTTTTTTCTTTATATATATTTTTTAATATAAAGAGAATGACAATTTGTTGGTCTTCTTGACGAGCGCACCACCCAATGTTTTTCTTTTAATTTTTTAGAAACTTTTGAAAATTGGAGTTAATTATTCTAACGGTGTTGGACGCCATGCCCCAGCTGTGATATATAACGGAATTGAAACACATGTCTCACTTTGTTAAAAAATGAAACACGTGCCCCCATCTAAAAATGACCCAAACCACAGGTACCGACGTACCGTTTCTGTACTTTTCTCATTTTTAAATTAATTCCTCTTTTGGTCATATGACTTTTGTGCCAATTCTATCTTTAGTCCACGCTTTTCACTTTGTTCACCTTTGATGGTTGACTAATGTTTTTTAACCGTTTATGGTCCTTTTCCGGCAACTTTAACCATCGGAAACATTGTCGTAACGATCATATATGAGCGAAAAATACAATAGTCATGTATTATATTAAAAGTGGACAAAGTGAAAGATGTGAACGTACTAAATGTGGAATTAACCTAAAACTCGCAGGACCAAAAGTGGAATTTATTGGTAAATTATTAATCAATCAAAGAAGCTAAACCTAAATTATATTTTCGAGTTCACAAAATCACGGTTTACGTTCCTTTCAAAAGACAGAATCCAAACTCTAGACATTACTCCATAGTTTCTCCTATGTAAGTGTCTAATGACATTGGTTATTATGGTTCAAGTTCAGGGATGGAGAGTGGAGAGACACGGGCAAGATCGAGGAGGCATCGGCCTCCTCAAGAAAAAATTAATTTGTTATGTACATACATACATACATATATATATATATAAATTTTATAGGGAGTAAAAAATAGAAAGAAATTTAATTTAAACATTGCCCCAACACAAATTCTTCATGCTTTGACCCTTGCTTACCATTTCTGGCTCCACAACCGAAGTTCATCGGATAATACGATAAGGAAAATGCTTTCTGTACACATTTTGTACATTCGCTTATACATGCACTATTAGTCTATTATTGTATGAGTTGTGCTATGTGTACACATTTTTGTGTATACCTTTTGTACAGAATCTGTCACACGCACAAATAATTATCTGTCCACAAACAATTCTACAGAGTTGTCTGTGGGCAGACAATTCCATGCTTTCTGTACACATTTTGTACATTCGCTTATACATGCACTATTAGTCTATTATCGTATGAGTTGTGCTAGGTGTACACATTTTGGTGTACACATTTTGTACATTCGTTTGTCTCACTCATGGAATTGTCTGCCCACAGACAACTCTGTAGAATTATTTGTGGACAGATAATTATTTGTGTGTGGGACAGATTCTGTACAAGAGGTATACACAAAAATGTGTACACGTAGCAGAACTCGTACGATAATAGACTAATAGTGCATGTATCACATACAGGGATGAAAGCACAAGTTTAACCTACCATTTTCCAAAAAACCACATCTAAACAAAAAACAATACGTCAACACAT